GCTTGTTACGGGCATGGGCAAGTTGCAGCAAGCTTCCTTTCCTCAGCGAGCAATTGAAAGTAATTAATAGATACTTATCGAGGACAAGATGGGCGCTATATGAATCCAAATTTCCAGTGAGGAACCTTTTGTTGGCATTTATTCAATCTTTTAACACCCCTGGGTTCTCTCCAGACCTATTCTGGCCAGTTTTCTACAATCTGTTCTGTCAAATGAAAGCTCATGAAAGACGTTATAGTATCAAGAGCTCGTTGCACCTTCAACCGCCGGGCAAAAGTTTAGGTAAGCAGAACAGTAGCCGAACTACGGGAGACTATTATTGATAGACCACTAGACAGAGATACTGGTGAAATATCAACTCTTAGGAGATGTTCAAAATTTTAACGTTATCGTGAAAGGGCTCGGTCCTATCTAGGTTACCCACCAGGTATGCTCGATCCCTATTTAACGATCGTGAAGACTCAATATGATCAGTTCGTGATGCAAAGCCCAATGTATCACATTACGCTTTGGCCACATTACATCGCCATGGATTCGTCAATACGGTTATAACGCAGAACGTAGATGGTTTACATGGTCGAGCTGGTTTAACAAAAGAGGCACTTTTAGAGCTGCATGGCACACTCTTTGTTAGTCCCTTTCTCTCCTTTATGATTTGAAATACTTAAATAGAACAGCTAGTTCGTTGTCGCCAAGGGCACGAAATCGATCGAGATGAATTTCAAGTCCTACTGTCCGAAGCCAATCCTGACTGGAAAGCATTTGTTGAAGATCTTGAATTGAAAGGAGAGAAGTTACGGACAAATCCGGACGGAGATGTTGGTCAACGTTTCAGTAGACGTTATACCCATCTAACCAAGTACAGGTCGCATTGGAGGGTCGTTCTTATGACGACTTTGTCGTCCCAGCTTGCCCAACCTGCCTCACTGAAGGAAAAACGGAACGTAATGTAAGAAAAGAATATTTTCCAAGAAAAAGTGCTGACATGGCGACAGCTCAAGCCTGATGTTGTATTCTTTGGTGAATCAGTGCCAGAGGGAAAGAAAAATCGATCGTTAGTTGATTTCAAAATATGGTAGTGGTGGTGA